GTAAACAAGTGGATTGTGTATGTTTTATGTGTTTTTCCAATCAGGTGGAGAGTTAATAGTGGCCAAAGATGTACACCCGTCTCTCAGATGTACCAATGAAAACTGGCTATTTCTCTTTTGTCTAGCCTCTTCAGTCTATCCCTGTGGACGTGGCACACTGCAGTGCTGTTGAGCCTCAGCTGTGTCATTGTTGACCTCAGCCAGGTCTTCAACCGTCGCAGAGCGCTGAAACTCCTTTCAGCCTCACATGATGACACTGGGACCACAATTAGCAGTCTCACCAGAGTCTCAACTTGTGACAAGAGCCCTCTGACCTCTGGTTGCATCCCTCTAAGAATTTGGGCAGCCTCTTTACAGGAAGTGTAGGTATGATTTGCTTTACACATTGCCAATTGAATTTGCATTTTTTGCAGGTCCAGTTCTGGGTACAGGCTCACCATATCATTGGTCTTTCCAGTAAGCAGAAGCTCCTCCAGCTTGTTCAGATTTTCCAGGCTCGGCTGGTCAAAGCGATCATGTAGCTGGGTGATCACCGTGTCAATGGCACTGAAAAAATGGACCCGGAAATACTCCTCTGGTGTCGCAGGAGTATGATGCTTGGCTGGACCACCATATTTTCTGGATGGCAATCGGACATGAGGTGGATGTACTGGCTGGAGGTCCAAGTCTGCAACAAGTTTCACAGCTTTACCATAGATGCCCATGAAACTATCATTAGTCCTCAAAGAGAGAAAGCCCTGTCTGGTGTATTCAACAGCTTTCAGCTTATCATAAAAAAATAAAAATGAAAATTATTCCAAACGTTTTACATGTTTGGAGAAACTTAAAGGTGTCCTTGAATTTCAAACCACATTTACCCTGTTGTTGAATGAAGGCAGCTTGGGTGTCTAATGAACCAAAGACCGTTTCCTGTGCCTGCTTTTTTGGTAAATGGCCTGTATTTGATATAGCGCCTATACAGGTAACACTATCCTGAGCTACTGCTAATTCTGGCAAGAGAAACTGCTAACACTAGCCCGAGCTACTGCTATCCCTATCCGGTGCTACTGCTAATGCTAGCATGAGCTACTAGTAATACTAGTCCAAGCTACTGTTATCTCTAGCCTGAGCTACTGGTAACACTAGCCTGCGCTGCTGCTAATTCTAGCATGAGAAACTGCTAACGCCAGCCTGAGCTACTAGTAATGCTAGCCCAAGCTACTGCTATCTCTAGCCTGAGCTACTGCTAATTCTCGCATGACTTACTGCTAATGCTAGCCCGAGCTACTGCTATCTCCAGCCTGAGCCACTGCTAATACTAGCATGAGTTACGGCTAATGCTAGCCTGAGCTACTGGTAACGCTAGTCCGAGCTACTGCTATCAATATCCGGAGCTACTGCTAATGCTAGCATGAACTACTAGTAATGCTAGCCCAAGTAACTGCTAACACCCCAGATAGCAAACATTTTGGTTTCATTTTGGTTTTATTTTGGCATTAATTGGGCATTTTGGCATCCTTCTGGCACAAAAATGTTCGAAAAAGTATTTTGGTTTAAATGTGGCATAATTTTGGGTTCCCATTATAGACAATTACATCAGCGAGTGTTTCTGTTTTAACCGTGGCATAATTATGGTTTGCCATAATAGAAAATTAGGCGGCTGGCTATTATGGCATATTCTGGGTAGCCAGAAGAGAGCGGGACAGCGTCTGTGACTTCTGCAGGTGTGCTATGGGGTTATTTTGGCAAGCCATAAAACTCATCAAATGGCGGGAAAAATAGTGATCGAAGACCGGGAATCAGGACTAATTTGTTAATTTCTCCAGCATCACGACAGAGGTGAGTACTATTTCTTCTTGAATCCTACCTTTTTGTTTGCTATAGTTTTGTTTTAGGTCAGTATTGTTTGTTTTAGCAAAATGTAATATTCGGCCTCGTTCCGGGATGAGTATGATGGAGTCGGCAACTGATGGTGAAAAGAAGCTGAAACAAGGTCTTTATGACACAAAAACCAAAGCAAGGCAAGTCAGACGTTTGGAGCAGTTTCTCCGATTGTGTTAATATTTCTCATTCAGGTCTCAGAAAAGTGACCTCGATCACTTCCTGATTACAGAGGAGAATGGAATATGAAACGGCCTTGATTTCATTATCCCTTTAAGCACCACACAGTAGCTCCTTTAGGTTTTTTTAAAGAATTTTATAGTTTAAGTAGCGAGTTGTTTGAAATAACATGCGCCAATGCGTCACCGGTGATCCTGGTGACGCATCGGCGTTAAAGGGTTAAAAACTAAATGAAAACAAAGTGCATCAATCCTGACCAATGTGTTAAAAGACGTGCAGGATCCGATCAATTTGTTTTTCCCTCATTTCCAGTCACGGAGATAACGGCGCACTGGCTCTTGTTAATCAAGTTAAATTTAATCTCTTTCCAACAATTTTCACAAGAAAACAAAACAGTTAAAAGCAGGGCTTGTGTTGTGTTGACCGGATATTTGCCGTACTTGACCGTTTATTTTGACGGAGAAAGAATAGAAAGAATACGCATGCAGACGAACTGACATTTTATTGCAGATGTAGCTAAATCACCCGAGAAAAGATTCCCATCTGAACATCTGAGCTGGACACCGCTCAGCACAGCTCGCTGTCAGCGCATACATAAGGTGCACAGCGAGCTGAAGATGTGGAGAGGGGCTTGGAGCATGTCGCAGAACCAGGGCGCATGCGGGAAGGTCAGAAAATGTTCCCTGATTATGAAACTTTGGCTGAATAGCGCTTGTTCCTGTCTCCAATGTGGCAACACATCCCTGAGCCTGTCTGAGGAGAATCCCAGAATCTCATGTCTTCTTCAGCTCAGAAAATGCCAATTACGCACAAGCGTGACCCGTCAACCCGGTCTCACAGTAAGACTGGGTTGGAACTGTTCAGGTTTACGCAGACAATCTTTACATTTAGAATTGACTTACAGATATAACATTAATTCAGTAAAATATAAAGCATTTTATTTAAATATCCATTATTTTACAAGCACAGAGAGCCGCACCAGATGGATGGAAGAGCCGCGGGTTGCCGACCCCTGGTATAGCCTATAAAATGACGTTTTCTCCAGGACCAGAGAGGACACAAACTCAATACATGTCTTTTATTGTGAGGTAATAATTTCTCAGAGTTTTGCGGTTGCGGGCGGGAGTAGACATGCACACAGCGGGTGCGGGAGTGTTACACACACGTTGCGGTTGCAGGCGGTAATGGTCAGAAATTCAGCGGGAGTGAGCAGGAGCGGGATATTTAATAAAGATAATTAAGAAAGTGACACAACATGAAAATGTACTCTGTTGTGAACACAGATGACTTAATGAGGCGAGGAGGAAGCTCCCTCTTGCTGAGGAGAAGACAGACCTCCAGTCTGAGGCGGAAGCCATTGAAAGGCCTCAAAGAAGAATTAAGTAAGAATTTTGTGAACTTTCCATTCCTCCACCTCTTGGGCCTGTGTTGAATTTGCACTCATTAACTTAAATTAAATGTTTAATTCAGAATAAATGTTGTCTTGTGTGTTCATTTCCAAAGGCCAAGCATATGTCCAGGACCGGGCCTCATCAGAGGATGAAGCCCAGACCCCTGGAAGAGGGCTTCCCCCACCCCCAGCCATCCCCCCAGTGAGGAGAAGGTTCATCCTCCCCAATAACCTGTACCTCTGCCTGACCTGACCAATTACCAGGTAATGGAAATCTCAACAAATACCACAGTAACACATGTATAGCAAATGGGTTTGAGTGTAGCTGATCAGGTAAGTGTGGTGTTTCAAATGTGATACATTAGGAAATTTCCAAAGGTGAATGAGGCAGTTACATGGAGAAAACAATTCTGGAGCCATGATGTCACTGTTGAGGTCGATAATTGCATTTTGTAAACTGTTGTTCTTCTTCCTCTCCCTCTTCTACTCACTCTTCCAGCATGTCATGACCCTGGGGACATCATTGCGGCAGGCCATTGACCTGCAGGGTCACCAGGGAACCCAGGGGGTTCCAGTTCCAACTCCCTCTTCATCTGGTGGGATGATGAGGGAGGAATTGGCTGTCCAGGTGCCTACAGTTTGCCCTAGCTCCTCTCCAGGGCAGTGGCAGCAGAGGGACGACACAACATGTAAGGTTTTTATGGTTTACACTCACCCAGTCCTCACATGCCAGTTTCAGTATACAAACACACATGATCCACGCATACATACTAATATAAGATGGTTTATAAAGCTAAACACACACACACACACACACACACACACACACACACACACACACACACACACACACGCACACGCACACGCACACGCACACACACACACACACACACACACACAGAGAGAGTCTGAATGGAAAAGAATTATGTTTATGTATTTAGCAGACACTTTTGTCCAAAGCGACTTACAAGTGATAATCGGCATGTTGCCCTTGAGGCTAACAACAACAATAACAACAACTTGACATCAGTCATGGAGAGGAGGGAACAAGGAGTGGACAGTAGAGACGGGGACGGGTGCAGGGAGGGTGCTAGTTAAGAAGATGCTCTCTGAAGAGCAGGGTCTTCAGGAGTTTCTTGAAAATTGAAAAGGAAGCCTCTGTTCTGGTAGTGCTTGGTAGGTCATTCTACATTTGTGGAACGATGCATCAGAAGAGTCTGGATTGTCCTGAGTGCGGTGTAGGCACTGCTAGCCGACAGTCCTGTGATGACCGGAGCGGCCGGGCCGAGACGTAAGCCTTTGCAAGAGGATTCAGGTAGATGGGAGCCGTACCATCTCGGACTTTGTATGCTAGTGTTAGCTATTGGAATTTGATGCGTGCTGCTAGCGGTAGCCAGTGGAGCTCAATGAACAGAGGGGTGACGTGTGCTCTTTTTGGTTCATTAAAATGCCACACACACACACACACACACAACATCTAAATGCAAAAATGCTTAAACTATGTTGTTTCTTTGTGTCTGAAATGCTTTTCAGCTCTCCTGCATGAAGTCCTGGTGAAACAGGAAATAATCCTGCTGCAGCAGCGCGGCCTCACCACAATGGTGAAGGACCTTTTTGTTGCTGTTGCTGCTCTTCAGGGCCTGACCACAGGGGGAGGTGTGGAGACCAGGCACCACAGCATCTTCCCCTTGGTAGATGTTCAGGCCCTGGTGGTCCTGGAGAGGGAGCTTGGAATCAGTCCAACATTGGCCCATGAATTGGTGAGCTTTTTTCTGTTCTTTACAACAAAGTTTTGGACAATGCATTTTGGCATGCACATCCAATTTATGTGTTGGTCAATATCTTAAAGTGGCAGATATGCCAAAGGAGTTAAAGGACTGCTTGTGCAGCCAACAAGCTCCACCCAATTATCCCCCCCCACACACACACACACACACACATTTCAGGTCTCTGCCCTTCATCAGGCAACCACGAAACGCCAAATAAATAAATAGTGGAGCACAATGGCTATCCAGGCTTTTCTTTAAGTTTGTATAATATTTGTTTGAAAATTCAATGAAAATCAATCTTTGTTTAAAAAATTAATGAAGATCAATTTTTCTAATTTTAGGGTTCAACACTCGGCCTTGCGGGGGGGTCCACAGTTAAGGACACGGTGTGGCGGGTCCTCAAAGGAGCCATGACTAATGCCCTCACCGAGGGCAAAATGGGAAGGTGGCCTTTGAGAGGCTCCACCTAAAAGGCATTGTAATTGGTAAGTTTAATCACAACAATAACACGACTGTTCTATCACACAGCTGATAAAATCATAGTTTAGGATAAAATTATTAGCCACCCATGACAATCACATTTCTTTTCAAAGTCAAAATACTTATAGTCTTAACAACTCGTTCGCGAAATGGCACGCAGTGCGCCTGTGAATATCTCGTAATTATAACACCACGCTATCGCTGGCTTCAAGACAGCTATTGCCACTTTGCCCGCAATGTGACGCATTCTTCAGGGTCAACTCTCGCTCGTGAAATTCTTGTTTGGTTTTAGTGTCAGGAAAGAACCGCTGGTTTGTGTTTGGTAAAGTAAACTGTGGCAGTGTAAGTACTAAGTGACTATGATGATTTAATGTTGTAACTTTGGCTGTCACTTTCAACCCCATATGACGAGATGCATCCATTAACTAATGCAAAACTGACTTTTTAACTAGCCAGTTACTTAGCCCACCACAGGTCTCTTTTGCATGGACTGTTGCGTCGTCCTTTTCTAAGTCTTTCTCCATGTGTATGCCTTTATTTTCAGCTGCAGTGAGAAGGAATCTGGTCTGTGTGGCATCTACGGAGGCAGAAATTATAAATACAATTAAAAAATGGTTCTACTGGGCTGGGGATAGGGACGGAGGGCGCAAAAGGAGAATGCCCGCCCAACCAACCCCTCAACCAGCCCAGGACTCAGTCCAGGACTGACCTTTACAAAAATAAATAAATAAAATATTCAAATTTTACTCTTGTTTGGTTTTATGTTTATGCACCTCGTACACACAGTAACCTAGGCTATTTCACAAGGCTATTTAACTGAGGCACAAAATCTGAATCTTCTGTACAAGGACATTTTATAGTCTATTAAAATGTTAAATTAAATTTAGCATAAGGTTCAGAATAAAATACAATCTTTTGGTAAACGTATGGCTAATTATGGATAAGTTATGGTTCATATTTGGCTTTATTATGGGGTTTTGGGATGGTTATGGCTATGCTTTGGAAAGCCACATTTTATTTTGGGTGATCTTTTGGCAAACGTATGGTTACACTTTGATATCCTTTGGCCATTTTGTGGTGTTTTGGGGTTCTTTTGGTATAGTTATGGTTGTGCTTTGGAATTCCACAATTTCTTTTGGAAGAATTCTGGCAATCTTTTGACAATCCATAATTCTATTTTGGCGTGCCTTATTTGGGCCATATTTGGCCCATCATTCCATCCAAAAGAGTACCAAGACTGGCTTGCCAAACTAGGGCCAAAAAGAATTTGCTATCTGGGACCCCTCATCTCTGTTGATGGTCTACAGCAGAGGTTCTCAATCCTGGTCCTGGAGGATCCTGCATGTTTCAGTTTAACTCTGTTTCAACACACCTGATTTCATTCAGCAGGTCAGCCACTGAATCAAGTGTGTTGGAGCAGAGAAACGGCTCAAACAGGCTGGATACCGGCCCTCCAGGGCCAGGGTTAAGAACCAGCGGTCTCTAAACTATGAATAAATGCCAGATAGATCCAATGACAGTTGTAATATATTAAAGCTGCTGAAAACGCAGCTGACAACAAAAAGAATCTAATCTTCCTGTGTTTCAGTTATTTGCTGTAATAAAACATAAATTGCTTTAATGTTTTGTATTTGTGTCTAGAACAATCTTAATTAACATGGAAGTGCAGTCAGGGCAACATCTGGGGATAGATTGTTGAATTTTATTTTAGCTGTTTTTTTCACTTTGCTATGAATAAAATGTGCCTTTTTTTTTGTTGCTCCACCAGGTGGATAGTGTGCGTAAACAGTTCAACGTCCAAATCGAGCGAATTACAGAGGAGCTGTTCGCGCTGCAGATGGTACAAACCTGCTCTTCAAGAGGGATTTTCCTTCAAAATCACTCTAAACTGTATTTTTCCCCCTCTAGTATCTGCCTGTCTACTTCTGTCTGCAACAAACCCTTTCCCTGTCAACCCTTGTTCTGGTTTCCAACCCAGGAGTGTGCAGATAAGCAGTCTCAGATTGAAAGGTCCCTGCGTGAGAGAAAAGCTGTAGAGAAGGAACTGGAGAAGGTATCCATGAAATCCTCAGTGTACTGGGAAGGTGCCTGCTGTTTGATGGTGCAACTGTGAATGGGTAGCGACGTTGGCGAGAGCCTGTGGTGATTCTTTTCAGGTGTACAAAGAGGGCAGGGCAGAGCTAGAGTTGGGGTGGATTGATGCCCTTCATCAGAGGTGTCTGAATGCAGAGAGACTGAAGTTTGACCTCAGCCTAACGCTGCAGAGCACCCAGAACAAAATGATGACAATGGAGATGGAGTAAGTATAGCTTAGTGTTGTGCGGCTGCTTTTATCGTGAGCAGGAGGTTAAACCCTTGTTTGTCTGCTTGTAGGTACAGCGAGGAGCTGTCTCGGTGCCAGAAGGAGGTGCCGCAGCTTTGGCATGCTCTGGCTGCGGCGCGGGATGAGTGCGTCGGCGTCAGCGACGAGCGGCTGCAGCTGGAAAATGTGCAGCTACGCAAAGAGATGGACGAGCTCCGCAAAGTTACGATGCTCATCCAAAACAAAGCCAAGCAGACGGTAATCAGATGGAAATCCGAGGGATACCGCTTACGTCTGTGTCTTTTACTGTTTTAACTCCACTGAAAGTTTTATTATTCAGACATAAGCAGCTGAAATGAGCTGAATCTTTAGGTTTTACCGTAATGTTGGTCCTTCTGCTGCTGTCACAGCTGCCACTCCTCTGGGAAGGCTTTCCACATGGTTTGGGGTGTTTATGAGTCTCTGACCAGCATTCCGGAGGAGCATTTTCAGAGTGATGTTGGAGAGGAAGATTGGACTTGTTTATGTCCCTATTGGAAAACATGAAGGCCCTTTCCTTTGGTGGGGTATCCCAATATTTTAGGCAATATGATGGAGGTCCAGATGTGCTGCTCTTCCACATGGAGGTGGTTCTCGTGTCTGTCAGGATGTCTCCTGGTTACATTCCGTTGGGGGTGAGATAAATATATCCTCTCTGATCTGGAAACATTTTTGTATCCCAAACACTAGCAGGGAATTTCTGCTTGGATCTGTTACCTTAGCAACCCAGCTTTGGATGGGTGTCAGAAAACAAACAAGTTAATTTTTTAAAAGCAATCTTAGACCTAGTCCACACGTAGCCGGGGTTTTTTTAAAACGAATATCCGCCCCTCCAAAAACTTGCATCCACACCACCGCGTTTTAAAAACAAGCTCTGTCCACACGTACCCGGATAAATACGTTGTTAAGGACATGCCAGACCTGTAGGCAGCAGTACTTCCCCCGTTCTTAACCTCGTCCTTCGTCTGTGGTCTTCCGCAAGGAGCAGTAATTCCGCTTGCAAAAACAAACAAGCAAAAAGCGCTTGGACGATTGATAAAGCGAGCGCGGCTCTGAGGGTATCCATGCTGTCGGCTAGTGTAAACACAGGTCGCACACGTGATGTCAGCATTTTTTGTCGCAGAAAGTGAAGTTGCGGACCTTAAAACTCCGGTTTTGTCTGTCCACACGCAGACACCCTAAACGGAGAAAACGCAGATCTTCACTTTGGCCGGAGTTTTTAAAAAGATCCGTTTTCGTGTGGAAAAAAACTCCGTTTTCGTGTGGATGACAGGCCAAAACGTAGAAAAATATCTACGTTTTGGCAGATCCCCGGCTACGTGTGGACAGGGCCTTAGATTCAAACAGACCTTTGGAAATTTCTGGTCCACTTTAGACAGGCAGGTCTACCTCACAGATCTGCCCATCTGGACTGTTACGGTGGGGTCAGTAACTTCTAAAGTAAACCCTCGTCCTCCTCCGTCCTCCATAAGGTGTCACTGATGGAGCAAGAATACAGCCTGAAGGAGGTGGGGCTGAACACGCGGCTGAGCGAGCTGGAGGGGAGCAGCCGCAGCCGCATCTCCAGCGCCGATCGCCTCCTCGCCGCTCAGCAGAAAAGCACTCAGCATTGGAAGGATGAGTTCACGAACCTCCTTCAGACCTTTGAAACTAAAACCGCAGGCCTTAGGTAAGAATCTCTACACTTTCTAAGATTTTTTTTTCATCCTAAAACATTCTGGTTGATTTCTGTTTATCAGTAAAATGTTTTATTACTTACCTGCTGGTAAGTCTCCTTACCAGCAGGTACTCCTACTCCAGTGGAGTAGGAGACATGAAAAATTACTTTAATGTTTGCTTTATTTTAGAAATCAACTTTGCTTTTTTGCTCGTCAACATTGTTTAAGACATGCAGCTCCAGTGGAGTGGCATCAAAAATCCTGGAAATGTGGCACAATTTCCGAAATGTTCATTTTAAATGGGAGAACTGTCTTAATCAATTTTACCACCCCCCTAATGCAGTCTGAGTACAGTTAGAAAAATATGTGACCATCAAATTACATGAATCTCACTGGTCACAATTGTTTCTGGCAAGAAAAATATGTGACCTCTGTGAAAACACCTGTAAATAGCATTATTCTTCACTACAACTGTCTTAATCAATTTTGCCACCTCCCTACTGCAGTCTGAGTACAGTTAGAAAAATATGTGACCATCAAATTACATAAATATCACTGGTCATACTTTTTTCTAGCCAGAAAAATATGTGACCTCTGTAAAACACTTGTAAATAGCATTATTCTTCACTACAACTGTCTTAATCAATTTTGCAACCTACCAACTGCAGTCTGAGTACAGTTAGAAAAATATGTGACCACCAGATTACATAAATCTCACTGGTTACACTTTTTTTCTGGCCAGAAAAATATGGGACCTCAATAGAAACACCTGTAAATAGCATTATTCATCACTACAACTGTCTTATTTAATTTTGCCACCTCCCTACTGCAGTCTGAGTACAGTTAGAAAAATATGTGACCAACAAATTACATAAATCTCACTGGTCACACTTTTTTCTGCCCAGAAAAATGTGACCTCTGTGAAAACACCTGTAAATAGCATTATTCTTCACTACAACTGTCTTAATCAATTTTGCCACCTCCCTACTGCAGTCTGAGTACAGTTAGAAAAATATGTGAACAGAAAAATTACATAAATCTCACTGGTCACACTTTTTTCTGCCCAGAAAAATATGTGGCTTCTTCTCGTCTCGTCTCGTCTTCCTCCGCTTATCCGGGTCCGGGTCGCGGGGGCAGCATCCCAACTAGGGAGCTCCAGGCCGTCCTCTCCCCGGCCTTGTCCACCAGCTCCTCCGGCAGGACCCCAAGGCGTTCCCGGACCAGATTGGAGATGTAACCTCTCCAACGTGTCCTGGGTCGACCCGGGGGCCTTCTGCCGGCAGGACATGCCCGAAACACCTCCCCGGGGAGGCGTCCAGGAGGCATCCTGACCAGATGCCCAAACCACCTCAACTGGCTCCTTTCGATCCGGAGGAGCAGCGGTTCTACTCCGAGTCCCTCCCGAATGTCCGAGCTCCTCACCCTATCTCTAAGGCTGAGCCCGGCCACCCTACGGAGGAAACTGACTGACTAGCTAAAGGAAGTGAACCACGTCTCTCGGACTTTGCATTTAGGTAGGGAATTGTCTTTAGAAGATGTTAAAACTTTATTTAGCTGACTCACCTCAGACTGGAGCCCGCCGTGGTGGGGGAGCAGAGTCGGTGGGCTGCATCTAAATCGCGGAAGAGCCACGGTGGGCACAGCCTCCCTCTTCAAACGGAGGCGTGCAGAATCGCGGGTAAAATGCCCACAGAGCTACCGCAACCATACTACACTACACCATCTCACCATGCTAACACGATATGGAGCACTAAACCCAAACTACTTTCCTAATTACACTAACAGCCAAGCAGTAACTAAACTACAATATCCAACAGCCAAGCTAACACTAAATAAGTATGTATAACACTAAAAGCTATGCTAAAGACTAGGATATGCTAATGCTATATGCTAATGCTGAACTACGGCTAGCCTCCTACACTCGCTTGCAAATCCAACTCCCAACTCGCCACAAGGCGTGGCCGAGACGCTCGATCCTTTTATAACTTTGACAGAGAGCTGCTACGTAGTACTCTACTGGTTTACGTAGTATCTTACTCTTTAGCCATTGGCTAAAATTTATTCAAAATGAGTCAAATTCTATGTTTTAAGCTGAAGGTGGAGCTATACTGTAGTATTTAGGCAGAATTTTTAATTTTTAAAGAAAATGCACCAAAATGCTAAAATAATGAATACACACATTTAAAACACTATTAGACACTCATTTATACAGTTCATCAGCAAAAAAAAGTTAATTTAGACGTTACTTGCTCTTTAATAACTCTTCATGTGAAAACATAAAGAGCAGTGCAGCATACAAGTGAGATGTAAACATGTCCAGGTCCAGTATTATATGATGTTTAAATGCTCACATCATCAGGCTGAGGCTGGAGTCTCTGGGGCATTAGGAGGTCACAGTCAGGCTTTCTTCAGCTCCTCTGGAGGTGGATGTAGAAGTGTGCTTTTCTGGCTAAAATGAAGAGGCATAACATTTGAAAATAATTTCATGTTCATAGTACACACCTGTGGCTGTCAGTAGAGATGAGAGG